CCTTTTTTTTTCCCCCCCCCCCCACTTCAAAGGCAGATCGGGAGCGGTGCCGAGAAAAATTTCCTTACTAGATGACATTTCATCGCAATGTCCGATCGTTTGGGGCAAATAACCAAGGGCAAGGATGGGAAAAGCAAGTATTCGACTCTCAGCCTGTTTGATAAGTATAAAGGAAAATCAGTAGACTCGATCAGATCCTCAGGTAAGAGGGGCTCGGAGGCCAGTTCCTTACGCTTTCCCTTAAGCGAGAAGCTCCAGGTCAAGATCAGGAAAACCTAGAGTCCCCTGTCTGGTCAGACAGGAATGGTCCATGCAGACCAGTCTTCTGGGCACGTGGTGGTCATCCTGTAGTTCAGGGGAAACACGTCACCCTCTGCTCCTATTTGATGTATGATTTCAGAGCCTGGAATATCCTGACTCTGCTGTACTAGGATTATTTCCTCATCTGTCTTATGTTATTGAAGCCATGGATATTTTGAGCCTGATGGGTAGAATGGAATTTAATTTGCATTAGAGTTACCCCTTTAGGTTTCATGGTTCTGATACTCCGGAGCTTGGCGGGGAAAGTTCCTGTTGATTCTGTCCACACCCCTTGAGGATTTTATAAATGCCGGGGGCCCTGTTCAGGCTTGGCTTGGGTCTAGGCGAGGCTGTCCCTTCAGTCCTGCTGTAACGAGGCCAGAGCAGTCTCCCCTGTGCACAGGGCTAGTCATTCTGTGGGAGCGAGGTTTCTAGGCCTGGGCCCTCCCCCATGTCCTGACCGCCCTGAGCCTTCTGCCCACGAGTAAACTGGAAGCCTCCGCACAGACTTCAGCAGCTCCTGTGTCTCTGAAGTCCTCGGTGAAGGGCTTGTAAAAGGACCGACTACAAGTGACTACCAAGCGCTTTTTGTGTGTTTGTGTGGCGGGTCTGTCCCTTGTTTTTTGTTTGGTTGCCTCTGTCATTATCCTCTAGAGTTTGGAAGAGCAGCTGAATGAACCCGGCATCTTTCCTTCCATGACTTTCTGTGCACCATCTCTTTCCACCTCTCCCTCCATGCAGTTATTCCTAGACATGGCTTACAGAGTCTCGGGAAAGTTGCCACAGCCCGGCGTATGCCACCGCCTGCAAACCTGCCAAGCTTGAAGTCTGAAAACAAAGGAAACGACCCCAACATCGTTATAGTACCCAAGGACGGGACGGGATGGGCAAACAAGCAGGATCAGCAAGACCCAAAGAGGTGAGAGCAGAGGGGCAGGCGGAGGGCCGGGAGCTGGAGCTGCGTCCATGGCCGGCACCCTCTCCTCCTGCAGGGGGCAGCTCTGGAGAACTGGGCAGGTTGCAAAGGAAGCTTCTTTCACCCGACTCCTGCTGCTTAGCAGTTTCTTGCTCCCTGCCTTCATTTTTCCTGGCTCTGGGAGCCGATGCAACAGTGTTTCTGTGAGCTGCCTTTCCCTGGTGACCAGTGTCCCCTGTGCCTTGTTAAGAAGGGCTCACCTCTCCCAGGGGACCCACTGTGGGCAGAGCTGAGCGCTTCACCTGGTTGGGGTCCCTGGGTGCTGGGCCCCAGGTGGAGAAGGTGGAGCCGTCCCAGCTGTGGGGCAGCAGCGCCCTGCACAGGTGCCTGCACATGCTCTGTAGGACCCAGTTACCGAGGACAGCCACCCCAGTCCAGGCACTCGGGGTCAGCATGCAGCCTCCCTGCAGGCCCACCCTCTGCCAGCACAGCACTTACGGGAGCCTTAGGAGGCCCGGGATCTGGCACAGAAATAAATCATCATTAGAGGGACAGCGCGGCTGTTTCGGCCGTTGTTGTGTGGTGGCGCTGAAAGCACGAGTGTGCCGCCTGAGCCTTCGTTCCCCCTTCCGTGGCCCGTGGCCCGGCTGCGTTCCAGCCAGCGGTAGGGTGTCCAGGAAAGAGGATTGGGGTTTGCGCTGGGAGGGGTTTGGGGAAGGACGGGGCCTCTCTGAGGCTGGCAGGCAGAACCCTGCTGCTGGGGTTTGCCGTGAAAACAGAGCAGTCCAGCCTCATACCCTCTCTTGCCCTGTGTCTCCCTTGTGGTCTGGCTGCTGATGCTCAGGACCCAGAAAGTAAAAGTGGCCCAGAGCACAGCCTGCCAACCAGGGTCCTTTTCTCTAATTGGAAGTGGCCAATAGCTTTTGTAAAACTTCTGTAGTTACTTCAGACAAGATGTAGAGAGTGAGTCAATAATTCGGTCAGATGATCAGTAGTAACTGAAATTTTAAGACATTTCCTAACAGCTGGCTTAGGGATCATCCTGATTAACGGTATAGTGTGACTTTTAGAACTGGACAGATGTGTGTGATTTCCAGCCAGGCCGTTTATTAGGTTTATGGGACCGGGTTTATTTGACTTCTGAGCATCATCGTCCTGCTGTGAAGTACAAATGACACCTGGTTCCGGGGGTGGCTACAGGAAATGGATGAGATTTGCCCAAGTCACGTGTTTAGCACAGGGCCTGGCACAGAGGTGGTACGTGGCAGATGTCCTCATTCTGTTCAGGTGTAGACGCTGCAGACAGCTCAGCGTAAGCGTTGAAATGCCTCTGCTACTGAAAGTTCTAGAGAGAGAGGACAAAGCCTTGCTCCCTCCTTTTATCCGGTCTTACGCACCAGTGGCATCGAAAGCGTCAGGCATCTTCAACGAGGCCAGTGTGCTGAAGCATGTTTGCCAGCCAGAGGTGAAGAGTGAGTGTTGGTGGGGGCAGCACACCCCGACGCTGCTTCTCTGCCTCCCCTGGGCCACATCCTCACGAGGCTGTCAGGGAGGTGGCCGAGTAGGGGGGCCACACCTGCTGGGACTCAGTGTTTGGAGACCACAGAAGTGACACCACCTGGAAGCATCTGTTTCAGGTAGAAGGTGATGTGAGAGAGAAGGGTCAGTGGCCTTCATTGTGTAATAATCACAGGTGGTGAGTTACTCGGTTGAGTAAGCCTTGGATGTGTGTAGAATTTGGCTTCAGCTGAGCCACCGGCATTGGGTGGATTCTGGCCAGGGGACTGCTGTCCTCCTTGAAGCTCATCACGTGGAAGGTTGACGAGAACGAGTGACTGGAAGGCTGCACGTTGGCAGAAATCTTCCTTCAGAACCCTTTCTTTTTTTTTTTCTTCTTTTTTTTTTTTTTTGTGGTACGAGGGCCTCTCACTGTTGTGGCCCCTCCTGTTGCGGAGCACAGGCTCTGGACACGCAGGCTCAGCGGCCATGGCCCACGGACCCAGCCGCTCCGCGGCAAGTGGGATACCCCCGGACCGGGGCACGAACCCGCGTCCCCTGCATCGGCAGGCGGACTCTCAACCACTGCACCACCAGGGAAGCACGACCCCGCGTCCCCTGCATCGGCAGGCGGACTCTCAACCACTGCACCACCAGGGAAGCCCCAGAACCCTTTCTTATTGCTCTCAGAAGATGACTTGTGGGGTATAGATCAACAGACGCACCTTTGCTGGAGCGTAGCTCCACGGTATCTTTTAAACTTTAAAATGTCTTTTGATCCAGCTGTCCCACTTCTAAGAACTTAAGACTACTGAGTTGTATACACACAAGTGTGCCAAGATGTGTACACAGAAATGCTCGTTGCAGTTTTATCTGTAATAGAAGAAAAATTGGAGGTTGGCACATTGTGGCCCATCCACCTGTACTGTGTCATTAAAAGAAAGCAGTAGATCCATATGTGTTGTCAGGAAAAGATGTCAAGGGCATTGAGTAAAACACGAGTTGCTGGACTGTATGTATGGTGTTACCCTACTTGTGTTACAAAATGCTATGCTAATATACGTAGAAAAATCTGCTTGAGTTTCTCTCCGGAGGATGAGATCGTGACAAATTCTGTGTTATATGTATTTATTTATTTTTATCATGAGCATATATTTCTTTTATAAGCCAAGAGAAGGTTTAAAAAAAAAAAAATCTGCTCATGCTTCAAAGAGATCAGCCCCTGAGGAGCTGTGAGCTCTTGGTCAGGAGTGAGGGGCGGGAGCTCAGAGCCCATTCCCTGCCCCGACGCAGTCTCCCTCATGACAGATCCTCCATCACTTCATTGTTGGCCGTGAGCTTTCAGTCTTCGCAGACAGAAGGCTCTGCGGAAAGGCAGAGGGCTGGCCTGTCCTATCAGTTGTCGGTGAGCAGACCTCACACATGGTCCGGTTTCTCGTTGCCTTGGCCAGCCTAGGAGTCTGCCGGGGAAGGTATTCTTATTGGCCAGAGGAGGTCTTGCTCCCAGCCAGCGAGCAGCTGTGTCTCTCGGGAATGTGGAGGGACCTTGTGGGCATGGCCAGTGCCTGTCTAATTCCTGTGTGTGTCCTGCCTTTGTCTAGTTCCAGTGCGACGGCCTCTCAGCCGCCGGAGTTGCTGCCGCAGCCGGGTTTGCAGAAATCTGTCTCCAATTTGCAGAAACCGACACAGTCGATCAGTCAGGAGGTAGGTGCTGGGGACCCCGGTCCCGATGCTTGCCTAGGCGTCGGCGCCTCTGAGCTCCCTGGCGCTGGGGACCGATGGGAGCTGTCGCTGAGAAGCGTGGCTCTGTGTGACGTGCTCATTCCAGAGGCACACCTGATGAGTGACTCTTGGGAAAGACCCCAGATGCAGAATAGAATATAGACGCCTAATTTGATTCCAGTTGCCTTAGCTTGAGGTGAGTCACTCTGGCAGCTACAGGCTAGATCGGGCCCCCCGCAGTGTCTCCCCAGAAGCAAGTGTCATAAGGAGACAGCAAGTGTTAGGCTACAGAAGGTTCAGTGGTCTGGTGAGTTTGGAAAACAAAATGAAGCAAGCTCTTTCACTTGGTTTTCTTAATGTCATACTTTCTTTCGGTGTCTTCAGTATGCTAATGTGTCCTGTGAGTCTCCAAGAAAAGGACATCATGGACAGCGGTCCTGAAATGTATTTGTCCTTAGGAACCTCTTTTCATCGAATGTCTCTAGAGACTAGTGTCTCTCAGAACATGCTCTGGGAAATACTGAGCTATAATCCTTTATTTGTCGATACACTGCCTACGCCTCTAAACAGAGTCATGATTTAATCAAGAGCTCATATTGTACTTGGTCCATTGGTGTCTGTCTGTGGGTTACAGAGGCCGGTATCCGGCAGCTAGAAATCTAGGCGAGACGTCTGAATCTTTTAGAAGACCAGAAAAAATCTAGACAGATACCTGGCATTCACTGGCTCCCTTGAAAGAATAATTCAGTTTGCATTGCTGCCTGGGCAGTAGAAGGACTGAGGTGCCGTCCCCATCTGCGGGGAAAGCTTATGGCTTTACCAGAGGGACACCCTCCCTACCCAACACTGAACTGTGCTTTGAAATTAAAGGAGAAGCAAGAAGAAATCCACATTCATGCGAGACTGCATGTTCATTGGCCTAAATCCACTAGGACCTGCTGATCAGTCAGAGCATGTAGTGTGGAGTTCGTATCTGGTTCCCAGAATTTGAAGCTGAGTGCGATTAAGGAGCCCTGGTTGTTTCTACAGCCCTGGCTCTACGTCAGACTCACCTTCCAAGCTTGTTAGAGACGAACAGGCCTGGGCCGGGCCTGCGTGCGGCTTGGGCACCTGTGGAGCACGGGTGCCGCGGGGACTGCGGCCGGGTCGGGCCCTCTCCTGGCGCTTACCAGCTCTCCTCTCGTGCGGGGCTGGTGTTGGGAGGAGACCCCCGGTGGTTCCCAGCTTTGGGGTGAGATTTGCCACAGTGTTAGTAACCCCCTCATGGCCCCCAGGCCTTCTCTTCTGGTTTAGTGCCTTCGGTGGGTGAGGGCGGAGGTCGTCCCTGCGGCTGCAGGCTTGGCTGCAGACCCCAAGCCGGAGGCTGTGGGATGGCAGTGCCCCGGGACCCCTCTGCTTCCTGCTGGTCTGGAGCCTTGCCCTTCCCTCAGGGGCTGTTCAACCCCAGCAGGGGCTGCCCTGCCCCTGTCACAGTGCTGGCATTTCCCTTGTGTGATCTGCACGGGGGACCGTGGGCATTCCGGGCCACTCAGGTCAAGCACTCAGGGCAAGTCTGTGATAAATACATGGGTTATTGCACCTACTCAGCTCTGCATCGAAGGCAAGAGAGACAGCCGTCTGCCTTGAGTGTGTGTGGTGGCAGCGGCAGGGGGAGGATGGGAAGGGGTAACTGTTTATCCGGGATCTAGTCCAGTAAGTGATGGGACGTCATGCTGCATCAGCTTGGATTTGTGTATCTTTACCTTCAGTTGTTAAGTTGGGAAGACAGCTGAGTTCAGTGGTTGGGGACCTGAAGGGGCTTTGGGCACGGGCAGGGTGGGGACAAGTCCTGGTCCCGCCTCACTAGCTGAGTGTCTAACCCAAGTGACCCAGGTGTGCCTAGCACCATGCCTGGCGTGCGGTGAGCTTTCAGCAGAGGTGAGCAGAGCCAGGCAAGCCCAGATCAGTGGAGGCGGAAGGCCTCGCACCTGGGGAGTGGTGCCTTGTGGCGTGGCAGTAATTGCGGAAAGTGGTCTCATCAGGCACATGAGCTTTCCCGCGCGCGTTCTCTTAGCGGCGCCACCCGGTTTTTCAGACACACTAGAATTGGGGTTTGGTCTTGTCCCTGGAGCAAGACAGAGTAGCTCTGTGTGGGCACGAGAGGCGGCCTGGCAGCATGTTCCGAGCGCACCGCTGGCTCTGCCGTGTGACCCTGAGCTGGCCGCTTGCCCTCCGGCCTGCCCCTCGTCTGTCATGTGGCCGTGGGTCCTGACCCCAGGCTGCTGCCCGAGTGGGAGGCTATGTGGAAAGCCCGCGTGGTTGGACCTTGCCTGGCTGGTGGTAGCGGGTACATCAGTGTAGGGTCTGGACCTAAGGTGAGGACCTGAGGGCACCTTGTTCTGACTCGCTCAGGGAGTGGACCGCAGACCGCTGGGCCGACCCCGTTCTCATTGTCTTCCTTCTTTCAGAATACAAATTCAGCGCCAGGTGGACCAAAGTCATGGGCACAGCTGAATGGAAAGCCAGCAGGACACGAAGGTGGTAAGTGTGTGTGTGGCGTTGTGGTGGGCGGGTGGGAGGGATGTGTGCCTTTTCTGGGCTGCTGCACTTCTGTCCAGGCAGGCTTCGGCTTGCAGCGTCGTGGACTCTCTTCCCTGAGCGAGTTACTGCCTTTGCCCCGGCGGTGGACGTACTGGTTCTGCAGAGCACGTCAGCTCTTTGGTTTTATTGAACGTTATTGCTAAGGACAGCCCTCCCGAGGTGTGCGCAGGAGACCCGGCACTGGCCCTGGGCTCCCTCATTGGCTGAGCCGCTATTGGAGCGAGTCCCCAGCCCCCCGGGGAGGAGGTGTTGCCTACGGGGTGCTGGCTTTGTACCTGGGTTTGTACATCAGCAGCCTTGGGAACTGCTTGCTTTTGGGCAGTGACACCAGAGCATGCGGAGGTTGCGTGGTATTTGTTAGCATTGGTGTCCCGCCTGACACAGGGACTCAGATGGCTGCAGTGGTTCAGCACAGGGATGATGTGGGGTGAGTGGAAGGGGAAAGCATCCCGAGTTTTAAGTGAATG